TCTCTCTCTCTCCATTGTTCATACAGTCGGTCTTCAATCTTTACATATTACATCGAGTTAGTATTTTCTTGTTCATACTTTAGATTCAATAATATTAGGATTGTAGATCTTAGATTTGTAATCTGATTCTTTACATTTCTGTTATTGTAATCTTCTTTTATATTTTTAATATTCAGGTAATTTTAGTTGTGTGAAAAATAACATGGTATCAGAGCATTACGCTCACCTCTGTGTTCATTTTTTTCTTTAATTTTGTTTGATACATGATTGGTGTGAATCCTTGATGCTTGGTGCGTCTTATGCCCTCGCACATCAAATTCATCCACGATATTGAATGTCTCTTCATCTTCTGGTTCTAGATTTGTTCCAGAAGTGATTGATTGGGCGTGTACCATTTTTTCGTGGTCCCCTTTCAAGATCTAGTCCTTCTTAGTGTTGTTTGAGGATCTGTGTCCATATTTCCAAATCCATTTAATGCATGATTCATTTTTCTTTAATATTGTTTGAGGATCTGAGTCCTTACTTCCAGATCCGGTTAAAATGCATGTGCATATCTCTATAAAATTGTTGAGGATCTGTGTCCATATTTCCATATCCATTTATAATGCATGTATATCTTGTTTGGTTTAGATTTATGTCCTATTTCTCCAGATCTGTGTAATTTATGTTGGATCTGTGTTGTATCTTTCAGATCGATCTACTTTTCTTTACAAATATATGCATTCTTTGACTGTTCATAATTGTGTAGCCCTTTTTCTTTTACGTCCTTCCTTTTAGATCTGTTTCACTATTCAGATCTTGAGGTTTCTTATGTTTGAAATGACCAATTAGATTGAGCCTCTTTTAGATCTTTTTGGTCTATTTAGGTCTCCCTTTCGTGATCTATCTGTGTTCTCTTGCTACCTTATCTTACCTATTCTTCTATATGTCATGGTTATGCTTTATAAGTCGAGACTTGGTTTATCTCAGATCTGGCATTAATTGTTACACTAACTTTCTCCATTTGTTCAGGTACATCTTGGAGCTTCTCTGTGATAAGTAGCTTTATATCTTCTCCTTATAATCAATATTTTTGTGTGGTGATTGGTTATTTTTTGTTTGCTTTTATCCTTTAACTCTGTTAAAGAACTTAGTGGTAAGGTTGCTTTATTTCTTGTTGTGTGTTCTCCTTCTGTTTTATTTTTTGGTAAGAAGCTGTCTTGTTGACTTGACCTAGCACATTAAAGTGTTTCAGGAATCCTGCCTTTAAGCATTTCAGTTTCGGTTTTCGTGTGTGTTCTTTGCTTATGGAGTCTCCTCTTGTTGTTGCTAGTACGTCAAGTTCAATGGAATCCAAAGTCACAAAATTAGACTTTGGAGACCCATTGTACTTGCACCTTAGTGATACTAGTGGAGGTTCTATTTTATCCTTCAAGCTAAGCGGAACTGAGAACTATCGTGTGTGGTCGTGTGCTATGATCTTAGCTCTAAAGACTAAAATTAAAATAGGCTTTATTGATGGCTCATGTCCCCATCCTAAAAATGATCCCATTCTTGAAAAACAGTGGGATCGTTGCAATTTTGTTGTCCTCTCATGGATCTTAAGTTCCATGACGGAGGATTTATTTCTTCGACAGGTTTTCTCAAAAGTGTCCTCCCAAGTTTGAGAGGAACTAAAGGAAACTTATGATAAGGTTGATGAGTCGGTAACGTTTAAACTTTATCAAAAGATAAATTCCTTGAGTCAAAATAATTTGTCTGTTTTAGAATATTACCATAAATTGAATTCTTTTTTGAAGCAGTTTGATGCCCTTGTGAAACTTCCATCCTGTACTTGCAATGCTTCACATGATTTCCTGGAACATAGCCAACTTATTAAACTAATGCAATTCCTTATGGGTCTTGATGGTGTCTACCAGCCTATTAGGAGCAATATTCCAACTAGAGATCCCCTCCCTTATGTTAAAACTGCTTTTTCTCTCGTATCTAGGGAGGAATCTCATATAGGAGCTAATTCTGGTCAAAATCGTGTTAAAACGCAAAATTCTGCCTTTTTAAGCAAAAGTTTTGAAAATAAAAGAAGACAAGGAAGGAATTCAACTAGTCTTATTTGCAAACACTATGGTAATTCTGGACGTACAATTGAACGTTGTTTCAAACTTATAGGATTCCTAAAGGATTTTCAGAACCGTCCTAGATCTCAACCTCAATCTCAAAACTTTAAACCTCAAAATCAATTTTTAGACCCTCTGCTGGGAATGCCTCTATCTCTGATTCTATTTCTCCAAAATCGTTCTTTACTTTTTCTAAAGAGCAGGTAGCTAAGATCTTGAATCTATTCAATCCTAAAATCACCTCTGAAGGAGCTTCTGCCGATATGGCAGGTATCTATCAAAAGTCTATTTCTGGTTGAATAGTTAATTCTGGAGCTAATCAACACATGACCTCCAATTCTTTAAACTTAGAAAATGTTGTCGATGTCACAGATTTAAATCTTAGTGTCAGTCACCCTAATGGTACGAAAGCTAAGATAAATAAAATTGGTAATTTGAAATTATCTAATAATGTGACTTTATTTGATGTCCTTGTTGTCCCTGAGTTTAATGTAAATCTTTTATCTGTTCATAAGTTCGCCAGAGATAATAAATTTTGTATAAAATTTGATGAAACAAAATGTTATGTTCAGGACTATCTGCAGAAGAACATTGTGGGGACTGGTAGTCAGGAGGGAGGGCTATATTTTTTTGATCAAAATCCTGCCTATAATGTTTCTTTCGCTTCAAATGGTTGTGGTATGGTTTGTTTTGTCTCTTCTCAGTTATGGCATAGTAGACTTGGTCACCCTGCTGATCAAGTCCTGCATGTTTTGAAAGATACATTAAATATTGGTAATGTAAGTAGTGGTCCTTGTGAAATATGCCATAAGGAAAAGCAAACTCATGAGAAATTTGGTACTAGTATTCATAAGTCCAGAAGTTTTTGGTGAACTTGTTCACCTAGATGTATGGGGCCCTTATCATATCCAAAGCAGAGAAGGATATAAATTCTTCTTGACTATTGTTGATGATTTTACCCGCACTGTGTGGGTTTATCTTTTGAAGGGAAAGCATGAGGTTAGGGATCATATTGAGAGTTTTTGCAATTTACTGTTTACTCAGTTTGGTAAAAATGTTAAAGTGTTTAGGAGTGACAATGGGACTGAGTTCACCAATCAAAGTTTGTGTAAATTTTTTGAGTTAAAAGGAATTATCCATCAAACTTCGTGTGTTTACACACCCCGACAAAATGGGGTGGTAGGACGTAAACATAGACACTTGCTTAATGTTGCTAGCGCTCTCATGTTTCAGGCTGGAGTCCCTCTTAATATGTGGAATGAATGTGTTTTAACTGCTACATACTTGATTAACCGAACCCCTACTTCTCTTTTAAATGGTAAGAGTCCTTACGAGCTTATTTACGGCTTTCAGCCAATTCTTACTCATTTGCGTAATTTTGGATGTCTCTGTTTTGTTCATATACCCAATGTTTCTGATAAGTTTTCTCCAAAGTCTGAAAAATGTATTATGTTGGGATATGCTAACTCCAAAAAGGGTTATAGGCTATGCTAACTCCAAAAAGGGTTATAGGCTATATAGCCTAGAAACCAAGAAAATATTTTTTCCAGAGATGTAAAATTCTATGAGAATGTTTTTCCTTTCAAGATGAGTAATGAGGAAACTGATTTGGTCATAAATAAAGATGTTGATAATTTGAACTTTTTTTGATACTATTTCTGGTTCTTCTAATGAGTTTGATGTTATGGGACCCAGTGATGCGAATAGTAGGCCTCTTGCTGATGATTTTAATAATCAAGATAATTCTAGTAACAGTGACCGAAGAGGACTAGGTAGCCTATCTAGGACTGATGATAGTCAGCCGCTAGGCAGCTCTGATGTTCAGGATAGACAAGGTCTTCCTTAAGAGGATGATCTTGATGGAGTTACCAGCTGGCAGCCTTTGGGTAGCCCTAGACTGGTTGACAATTTTCCTCGTGATGCTGTGCTAACTACTGAAACTACAAATGATAATACTAGTCATATCTCTTAGGGTAGTCAACCCCAAGCTCAACCTCTTAGAAGATTCTGTAGGCCTAGTAATTTTCCTCGAAAATTTGATGATTTTGTTGTTGAGGGAAAGGTCAACTATGGTATAGAAAGGGTTGTCAGTTATTCATGTCTTTCTTCTAATAGTTTTTGTTTTTTGTCAAATTTAAATAAATCTGTTGAGCCTAAAACTTTTAGAGATGCCTGTAGTGATCAAAATTGGTTAAATGCAATGAATGAAGAGATGGAGGCTTTGCATAGAAATGGGACTTGGTATGTGACTGACTTACCTAGTAATAGAAAAGTTATAGGCTGCAAATGGGTGTATAAAATCAAATATAAGTCCAATGGTGAAATTGAAAG